CCGCCATCCTGGTTGCCCCTAACTGCCCCGCCACCAGCCTGGTTGCCCCTTACTGCCCCCCTCTACTGGCCTGGTCGCCCCACACAGCCTGCTATTCAGTCGTTTGGTCGTCTCTCACCAACCCCCCTACTGGCCTGGTCGCCCCACACAGCCTGCTGTTCGGTTGTCCATCTGGTTGTTTCGGTTGTGACAGCCACTGGCTTTTTATATATTAGGATAATAGATTATCAGTGATCCTTTAAAAACACCTTAATGAATATATGACATCAAATAAATACACAAGGCACTGTAGAACTATACATTTAACACACACAGAAGCCAGTAGAGGACATACACGCATTGACATGTACTATACCCAGATGGGTACCCCCTGCGCCATTGGAAAACATCAATATTTTCTAATTAGTTTACAATAAATATTTGTTATAAGGCAGTATCTGTGAGCCACCAATGTGATATATCTCAGGACTAAATTACCTGACTCAAAGCTGGGATGGAGCTTGTCTGAGAAGTGGTTTGAGATATGGGACCATTCATCTACAAAATTGAAAACATCAAACATACCATCACTACAATGTAAAGATTTCAAACCACAGTAATTGAGCACAACAAAACCCACTGAGAAAAGCACATTTTTACATGACAAAGGAAACTCAGGGAGATATTCAGAGCAATATAGGAGCCTTAAAATTTTAAATGTTGAAATTCTGACTGTACACAATAAAGTAAAAATCCTTTACTTTACTAAAGTAGTTTCAATAGGGAAAATTAAGAAAAGCTACTTTTCCCAAAGCCATTTAGAAACTTTAAATATTACTGCTTGACATGATCAAATCTTACAATTAACGAAAGCAGTCAAAATAAAAAATTTAGCCCTAACCGGTTTGGCTCAGTGGATAGAGCATCAGTCTGTGGACTGAAGGGTCCTAGGTTCGATTCCAGTCAAGGGCATGTGCCTTGGTTGCGGGCACATCCCCAGTGGGGGATGTGCAGGAAGCAGCTGATCCATGTTTCTAACTCTCTATCCCTCTCCCTTCCTCTATGTAAAAAGTCAATAAAAAATATTTTAAAAAATAAATAAATAAAATAAAATAAAAAATAAAAAATTTATGTTATAATTCTAATTAATTCTTTAACTACATACCACTGCAATGGCTATAATGTTATAAAAGTATTTATAAATCACTGTGTTTTCTTGGTGATTTAATATCCAAGGCTTTGGCCTGGCCAGGTAGCTCAGTCGGTTAGAGCGTCCTCCTGATAATGTCAAGGTTGTGGGTTCCATCCTTAGGTCACACAAGAATCAACCAATAAATGCATAAATAAGTGAAACAACAAAGTGATATTTCTCTCTCTCTCTAAAAGTCAATAATTTTTTTAAAAAAGTTAAAACCCAAGGCTTTAATATCTAGGGCAGTGATTCCCAAAGTGGGCGCTACCGCCCCCTGGTAGGCGCTGCAGCGATCCAGGGGGGGCGGTGATGGCTACAGGTGCATTTGGGGGCGATGAGTAACTGCTATTAAAATTTTTAAAAAATTAATTTCCAGGGGCTGAGTAATATTTTTTCTAGAAAGGGGGCGGTAGGCCAAATAAGTTTGGGAACCACTGATCTAGGGGTATTAATTGCCATTTGTTTTCTCTACCTCCTAGTACTTAAGTTTTCTCTACTAAGCTACCCATAAATTTATTGCATGTAAAAACCAGAAGAAAGGGAGATGCACAGACCCATCCTGGCCTCAGGTATGCACTCACCAGATGATCGCTGTCTTTCCCTTCCTGGACTCGCTGGCCCTGCGGTTCAGCCACAACCTTAGCGTCCTGATCAGAAGTCATGAGCTGTTTACTTTGTGGCTCCACCGGGAGAAGTTTAATGTTAACTGTAGGATGCTGTAAAATGACAAAGATAGCAAATTGGTAACTTGAAGTACAGAGTATAACTGATTCTGAAGTCTTAAAATCCTCAAGTTTTCCAGGATATGTTTATCCCTCTGGAGTTTAAGTAGTTTAGAGAAACCTGTCCATAATTTACACCATACTTATTCAAGAAACACCTTGGTTTTTTTAAATAAGTTTCTTCTTCACAATAATTTGGTGACCATAATAATGTTTTAAGACTTAGAAACTATGTGTCAAAACATATAAACGCACTCATGCACAGAACTCATATTTTTAAAACAGAAAAATTACAAAATTAATAGAACTCCACCTTGAAATTTGATGACTCCCCAATTTATATATATCGTTTTTGACCAGCCCCATTAATTTCCTTTTGTCCAGGACCAGTTGTCAGAAGAAATAAACAATAATTGGTTAAAAAGAACCCCTTCAGAACTCTGAACCATAGTGTAAAGGGGTCTCTGCCATAAAGCACTGGCTCAACTTCACACTAACACCTCCTGATTTTCCCACGTCTTACAAAGTAACTCCGGTTTTGAAGAGATGGTGGTTTTTAGGCCTTCGTATTATATAAGTGTCAGACCCAAGATTCCTGGACACCTAGGTCTGACTCCAGGCTTCTCTGCTTCACAACAAGATAAAGACCTTGATTTAACCCACTTATCTTTAGACTCTTCTGAGTGGTTGATAAAGAAATCTAAAAGCTGCCCTAACCAGTTTAGCTCAGTAGATAGAGCATCAGCCTGTGGACTGAAAGGTCCCAGGTTCGATTTTGGTCAAGAGCATGTACCTTGGTTGGGGGCACATCCCCAGTAGGAGGTGTGCAGGAGGCAGCTGATTGATGTTTCTCTCTCATCGATGTTTCTAACTATCTCTCTCCCTTCCTCTCTGTAAAAACATCAGTAAAATATATTTTTTTAAAAATCTAAAAGCTAACTGTTTTGTTTCCCTGGGTAACCATGTAGCTTATTAGTTTCTATAATGATGCTCCTTACTCTCAATAACCTGTTTATTGTTAATGCTCAAAACCCTTGTTAATGAAATAATCTGATGATCAAAGGTAGTCTCATCCAATTGTCATTGTGTATCATCAATCACAAAGGTACAAAATCCCTTAAATGCTGTAAGATAGATAGATATATAAGTGTAAACTGCTCATAAAGAAGAAATGCTTGAAATAAGTTAAATCCGTTTCAAGAGGTCAGTGTTTTCCAAAATGTAGGATAAAGGACAAATACGTTAAATTGTAATAGAGACCGACATCAATTCCCACAAAACTGTTGCATGCAGAAAATAAAGACATAGACTGGTATGCAGACTGATAAGTCACAGAAGGTAGTACTATAGATGCTTTTTATCATTATTAACTTCTACACTTTCAAGACTCCCAAAAAAAATGTTTGAACATGATACAGTATATGATAACCAAAGGGGAGGAGAGGACAACTAGAAGATATATATATATTTATATACATATACATATACATATACATAGACATATACATAGACATAGACATATACACACACACATATATATACACACATACACACTAATGGCACGGTGCACGAAATTCAGCCCAGCGTGCACCCTCCACCAGCTGGCCTCGGGGTCCTGGCAGTTTAGCACCTCTTTCTAGAAGCGCGCCTGCAGGTTGCTCCCAGCCCCTCCTGAGCCCCGGTGCCTCCTAACGGGATCCCAAGGCTGCACCCCCAATTCCGCTGCCCTCTCCTCACCGGGGACAGGGGCACGGTGGGGCAGGGCGCAGGCGTCCCATTTTCATTAAAATGTTCAATCTGCGCCCACTCCACCAGTGACCGCAGGCAGCCCAATGGCAGACAGTGATCCCAGATGTGCTCGACGCCCCCACCAGGGCTCAGCCACAATGGTCCAGGGTGAGACAGCCCCGCCAGGCCTCGTGGCTGTGACTTGGACCCACTTCCTTAACCAGGGACCTAGCGCTGAGCGGCAGCAGCAGCACTTCCTCCCCCAGCCTGCGCTGGAGCGGGTCCCTGTGGTTTCAGAACTGAACTCCGAGGGCCTCCCTGGGTGGCAGTGGCACTGAGCCTGCCTATCTACCTACTCCAGGACTTCTGTGAGGAACAAATGAGTTGAGGCGCGGGAAACCGCTTCATAGACATTTGGTTAAAGTGTGAAATGTTTGCACCTGGCTATAAAGCAAGTCGTGTTCCTAGGCCAGGGGTCCTCAAACTTTTTAAACAGGGGGCCAGTTCACTGTCCCTCAGACTGTTGGAGGGCCGGACTATATAGTTTAAAAAAAAACTATGAACAAATTCCTATGCACACTGCACATATCTTATTTTGAAGTAAAAAAACAAAACGGGAACAAATACAACATTTGTATTTGCATGTGGCCCGCGGGCCGTAGTTTGAGGACCCCTGTCCTAGGCTGTAGAAACTAAAAAGGAGGCTAGTCGTCACTAGGGAGAGGAAGCCAGATAATGCTATGTGACATCATTACCCAGACAGACACTTAGCATATTAGCCTTTTATATATATAATTTAAAATAGTCAAACAAGCCCTAGTCGGTGATGCTCAGTGGTTAAAGTGTTGGTCCTCAAACACCTAATGTTTCTCTCTCCCCATCTCTAAAAAAAAATCAATGGGAGCCCGGCCATGTAGCTCAGTGGTTGAGCATGGACCTATGAACCAGGAGGTTATGGTTCAATTCCCAGTTAGGGAACATGCCTGGGTTGCAGGTTCGGTCCCAGTGGGGGGGCATGCAGGAGACAGCCGATCAATGATTCTCTCTCATCATTGATGTTTCTACCTCTCTTCTCCCTCTCCCTTTCACTCTGCGGAAAAAAAAAAAAAAAAAATCAATGGGAACCAGGCCAGTGTGACTCAATGGTTGAGTTTTTGACCCAGAAACCAAGGGAATTGTGGTTTGAGTCCTACATGGATTAACCAAAAATAAATAAGTAAATTTTAAATAAGTAGAAATAAAAGCAAAGCAAATGAAACTAGAAGAAAATACACAAGATGACTAACAATGTGTATGAACCCTCAAAAATAGTTTTATGCCCTAACCGGTTTGGCTCAGTGGATAGAGCGTCGGCCTGCAGACTGAAGGGTCCCAGGTTCGATTCCAGTCAAGGGCATGTACCTTGGTTGCAGGCACATCCCCAGTGGGGGGTGTGCAGGAGGCAGCTGATCGATGTTTCTCTCTCATCAATGTTTCTCTCTATCCCTCTCCCTTCCTCTCTGTAAAAAATCAATAAAATATATATTTTTTAAAAAATAGTTTTACTTAGTTTCATACGTGCAGTATCAATTTTTTAA